CTGAACCTGTGCGTCCGGAGCCTGTGCTCCGCAACGGGAGAGGTCACAACAGTGAGAGGCCCACATATCGGAAAAAAAAAAAAAAAAAAAAAAAAGAAAAGAAAAGAAAATATTTGTTTCCAGCTTTGCTTTGTATGATATTTAATCTTACACCAGCTGCTGTACCAATAATGCCCCTCCAGCCCAAAAACAGATTCTAGTAGAAAGATGAGAGATTGAGACAGGGTCAAATGAGGTTAAAATCAAGGCAGGAAATGAACAGTAACAGACTGGAAATGGAACAGAAGGCTTCTAGAACAGCCCTAGGATTCTGCTTTCACTAACTAGAGTGGGCATGTGTGCAATTAAGAGACAGGGAAGCCACACCGAAGTGGAGTTACTGAGCTGATGAGTTGTGGCCCAGGCAGTGTTATTCACGTGTATGAACACAGCTGGAATCTTCATTAGTTACCTGTCAGACGGGGCCCAGTGCCAAGCCTTCCTGGAGACACGGAGGTGTGCAGAGGCCAGGCTGTGCCTGGAGACGGAAAACCAAAGACAGCGTGTGGCTGACAGGGTCTTGGTGCTCCGGTTGGGTGTCAGGCCTGAGCCTCTGAGGTAGGAGAGCCGAGTTCAGGACTTTGGTCCACCAGAGACCTCCCGGCCCCATGTAATCTCTATAGGTGACAGCTCTCCCAGAGAGCTCCGTCTCAATGCTAAGACCCAGATCAACTCAACGACCAGCAAGCTCCAGTGCTGGACATGCCATGCCAAACAACTAGAAACACAGGAACACAACCCCACCCATTATCAGAGAGGCTGACTAAAATCATAATAGGTTCACAGACACCTCAAAACATACCACTGGATACAGTCCTGCCCACCAAAAGACAAGATCCAGCCTCATCCACCAGTACACAGGAACCAGTCGCCTCCACCAGGAAGCCTACAAAAGCCATGGAGCCAACCTTACCCACTGGGGGCAGACACCAAAAACAACGGGAACTACTCATCTGTAGCCTGTGAAAAGGAGACCCCGAACACAGTAATTTAAGCAAAATGAGAAAACACAGAAATATGCAGCAGATGAAGGAGCAAAGTAAAAATCCACCAGATGAAACAAATGAAGAGGAAATAGGCAGTCTACCTGAATAAGAATTCAGACTACTGATAGTAAAGATGATCCAAAATCTTGGAAAAAGAATGGAGAAAATGCAAGAAATATTTAACAAGGAACTAGAAGAACTAAAGAGCAAACAAACAATGATGAACAACTCAATAAAGGAAATTAAAAATTCTCTACAAGGAATCAATAGCAGAATAACTGAGGCAGAAGAACGGATAACTGACCAGGAAGATAAAAGAGTAGAAATAACTACTGCAGAGCAGAATAAAGAAAAAAGAATGAAAAGAACTGAGGACAGTCTCAGAGACCTCTGGCACAACATTAAAGGCACCAATGTTTGAATTATAAGGATCCCAGAAGAAGAGAAA